ATATCAATAATTATATTATTTTATAGTTGAAAATCCAATTTTGAAAAATAGTTACTAAAAATATAAAATCAAAATCACAAATAAAATAATAAATACAAGATTGTATTATTTTATAATAAGAATGCTCTAGTTTGAAAACAAATATCAATAATTATATTATTTTATAGTTGAAAATCCAATTTTGAAAAATAGTTACTAAAAATATAAAATCAAAATCATAAATAAAATAATAATCTTTTCATAATTTGTTAACTGTTATATGAGAAGTCTTTTATGCAGGAAATTGTTATTTACACAATATATTATTTTATTTTCAATCTCAATCTTCTTAAAAACCCTGTTATTTTAACTTCTATTTACAGTATATAATAAAAAATACTGGATATTTTAATTTTTTCTATAAATATTTATTTAAATAACATAAAAATTTAAATATATATACTTGAGTGTAGGATAAATGACTTTATTTAAGACTACTATAATACTTATCTTATTAAAATTTATATTTTTGAAATTAAAAAATTTTAATAATAAGATACTTAAATAAATTATTATAAATAAATTTGATTATTATTTTGCAAATAATCTTAAGTAAACTTATTTACTAGATTATCAAGTATATATATTAAAATTTTATATAATTTAAATAAATATTCATTAAATAACAAACAAAAAAAGATTAAAAAATATTTTAAATTTTTTATAATCAATTTTTTCAAAAAAAAATTAATAAAAAAATATTAATTATGAAAAATTTTATTAAGATAAGCTATTAAATACTTTTAAGTAAACTTTTTTACCAGGTTATCAAGCATATATACAGTTATATCTCTCTAAGTACACTCTTTCTAAGTGCATGCATTATATAACTTCTCTCTAAATGCATAGTATATTCTGGTTTCAGCTTATAAGAGCTCTATATATTTTGATCTCTATAAATGCATACCCTCTCTAAATGCATACTTTTTATTTTTTTTACTATGGTTTCAAGAAAGATATATTTAGAGAGGTTTAACTGTATTTAAAATTTTATGAATTAAATAAATATTCTTTAAATATACCAAAAATAAAAATTCTTTGAATATATCAAAAATAAAATATCCAGTTTTTTTAATAACTATACAAAAATGATTACTAAATTTAGAAAAAGTGCGAGAATGCAAATTTTACTAATAAAAGTGTAATTTCATTAAATAAAAGTGAAAAAGTGCAAAAATTAACTAAAAATAAAAAGAAAAGATAAAAGAATTTTAGCAAAAGTAACAAATATAATGATAAGTAATGAATTATGAAATTTAACATAAATCATTTGAAATTATAGAATTACCAATTCTTTTATTGTAACTATAGTTCCATAGAAGCTTTCTATTTCTCGAAGTTTGAATAGGAGATTCAAATAAAACCAATTTTCATTAAGAATTATGAGGTATTGAATATTAAGAAAAGTTCCTTACATATGACGACAGTTAATAATATATGTTTTTCTATATTTTATTGATAAAATATAGATTAATTTCGTAATAAGGCCTTCATACTTTTAACTATTAAGTAATATGACCTAAAACTGTATTCAATTTTCAAAAATATACTTGGTTTCCCATAAGTGGAAGGAAAGCTTTTAATAGAAACGGTGAAATTTACGTTATTTAGCTGAATTACTTTTAATGTAAATTTTTGTATACCGTAAAGTACCTCCTGGATAATGGTTTTTGAGAACGCTTTTTTGTATAATACCGGTATTTTAACAAAGTAACGGCGAGAGCTCGTTAAGTAACATTCTTAATATAACATCTCGTTATAACAACACCAAATCTCTCTTTCCCCGATTTCATTATTTAATAAGTTTTCATTGTACATGTATTAATTATTTCGATATATCGATATTGTATCGTTGTACATGTAAAAGGAAAATAAATTGTGTAACCAAATAGAACCCAACCCTGACTCGAGGAGTGCATGTTTTACAGTAATCGTTTGAAATAAAGTGAAAAATATTCAAAATTCTGTTTAAGCAACATATCTCAAAACTACAATTATATTTAATGGCACGGGGTATACGCATGTTTAAAGAACACATCTAAAAGAATAAGTGAACAGTCTGTTTAAGCAACATATGTGTACGTATGTTTAAAGAACACATCTAGGAGAATAAAATTAATTTCTAATTTAAAAAATTTATGATTTTAAAGGAAGGAATGGAGACGACAAATTTATAAGTTTTTTTATGTACATATATACAGAATGGATGTATACATGTATCTATATAGTGTAAATTGTAATAATAAATAATAAGTTAAATATTTAAAATACTAGAAATACTACTTAGTATATGTATAAATAATAGATTGTTGAACACGCACTGCGCAGCACATAAACACTTGAATTCGAATTATACGAAAGAGATTTTTTCGGAGGTTGTCACTTGAACATTAATTTTCGAACTATATTTCTCAGATTCTTCAAATTCGTGTAAACTTTCATCCCCGGTATCATGATTATGGCTTGAACGAATTAGTGGATCGGGAGTGGATGGATTATGATGTGATTTTGAGCCAAGAGAATGTGCACCACCACCACCACCACCATGTGCATTTTTGAAAAGATTCGGTAACGTGAGGCCGAACCGGGTCATGTTATATACTGTAAAAGCGGTACAAAATTCGTCCGCGTAGTCATAAGTGGGCACAGACTTGAAAATATTCAGGATTCGATAAATTATCATTGCGAGAATAAGAGCTAGATCTATCGAGAAAACTATTGCTTGGAAACGACGTTCTTTCAGGATTTTCTGTTCTGCTTTTGTAGCACCGAATCTCCGTAGACTTGTAAAGAGGATCGCGAAAAAAATCGTTTCTGAAATCATATAGTATATGCGTGGAACTGGTGCGTAGGCATCTCTAATTGTTTGCAGTATTTTGAGATTACTACAACGAGGGTCATCCATATCAAAATCACATTTTTCGCTATATATGATGTCACCGACGAACACGGAAAAAATTTGCGCGATTCGCGCTAAGAAGAAAAGATAATGTAGCCAAGGCCATTTACTCCATGGTTTAAAAACTGATTTACATCTTAGATATGCCAAATAAAGAATAATCGGTTTTCCTAGTAGGTAAAAAAAATCAGTGATTGTTTTTGTAATCATTAACGCCCTGAAATCACTCTCACTATACAAGATGAGCAAAAAAATTCTCGCTAGGGTATTAAGTTCGGTGATTAATATTAAACTATTAATCACGGGAAACAAAAAAAATTTCGATGCTTTTGTTCGTTTAACTAATATTCGCCAAAGAACGTATGTCGTCAAGCATACCGCTGGAATGAGAAAGAAAAGACCAATCCATTCTTGGGTGTGAGTGGTGGTGGTGGTGTTGTTACTGTCATTGATAGTGTTGTTGTTGTTAGTGATATTACTATTGCTATTGATAGTGTTGTTGTTATTAATGATACTGCTGTTACTAGAATCCATGATTGAATGGGAATAAGTAATATTAAAGATTTTGCATGTAAAAGTAAAATTCTATTTTTTTTTTTTGGTAATATTGTGGTAAAGGGAAAAATGAATTATTTATTATGAGAGATTGAGCGTATTTCCATTAATGAAGTAGGCGGTAAAGAATGAAATGGAAAAAAATACGAAACGTATAGAAGGAATAATGACTACTAAAAATTTTGACTTTCTATTTTTTATATATTTATTAAAGGAATTCTACAATGCAAACTACACCAAATAAAATCTTGCACCTCGAACGTGGCAAAATATTTTTTGTATTGGCCAATAGAAAAAATCCCTGTATTGTTATTGTTTATTATTTTATTTATTGTTAATGTTACTATAACTATTGAAAGAATTTTATTTTAAAAATACATGCAGATGTACATGTACATGTACATGTAGTTGAATGAGCCGTTACACATAGATTAATGGTTGGATTTCATATCGATATTGCACGTTTTTAAGATATCCGGTTTGTCATTCATGCATAAAAGTTTATCGCTCAACGATGATTTTAATTGGTAATGTTATTTAACATTAATATATTAAGTTCGATTGATAATTTGGTATCGTCATCTAATCTCGAATAGAATAAGAGACGTATTCAAAAATAATAAGAATTTACGATTATTTTCACGTGATATCCTAAATTTATCCTTTATATTTGAAGCATAATAATGATTGCAAGAAGGAGTCCTCTAAGTGCAGCGTGTATAGTAAATTCATAGTAAACTCTTGATATAGTAAATTTTTCACTAATAGTCCGGATGCCTTTAATATATCAAGAGTCAATTGTAGTTGATTGTGCAATATCTCCTGTATAATCATACACCTCACATCACTGGGTCCCGAGGTGTGCCTATAAAGGGTTAGGCTGTATTCATCAAATATCTTCCTATGCATGATGATATACGAGGATGAGTTTAAGATAATAGCTTGACTATTATTTTCTTAGCACAAAACGTTTAGAACACTCACGTTTCAAGAATGTCAACATGTACAACGCATAACATAAGCGTAAAGATGAACGAAGATCAAAATAAAACTAAGTATTATTTATTCCATTATTCCATTATACACATATTTGATAAATGTAGTAATAGGCAAGGTCGATATATTGACTTTTGCAGTAAAGAGAATAGGTATAATTTAATCTTCATCGTCCGCTTCAGATACCTTTTTACCACGACCACGTTTACTTCCTGCCAAGTTCATGGCTTCTTCCTCGCTGATAATACGTTCAATGCTTTCGGGTTTATAGGCTAAAGTGAAAATTAAAAATTAAAACAAATAATTTGCAAATAATCGAATGCGAACAGACTTCACGTACCAGTTTCCTATGTATTTTTAATACATGCAATGTATTGGACATTTAAAATGATTGTATTAAAAATTACATGTAACACGTAAAAACGTGGTAACACGTGAGGCGTTCAAAATACCTTGTGAGTATGCAAGTTCTCAATTAAGACACGCGGATGCTCAGGAGTCGCATGAACCGTCCTATGTGCTTGACCAGCTACCTATTTTTATTCAAAAATCAAAGGTATACATCAATTAAAGGTGTTAAAAAATCCATAAATAACGAGTATTAATTACTTCATCTGCCGTGATGATCTCCTTGACGATTCCTTCAGCAGTTTGCTGCGTAGATCCTATCGGATGGTAAATGACATATTGACCAACTTTAATATTATTAAGCTTGATACGGCTTTGTTGACCTTTGTCATGAGCTACACGATGATGGGTTTCATGTTGACGTCCTAATTATTGCGAAAAAAAGTAAAAAATTAAAATTATCATCAAATAAAAATTCACAAGACATCAATATATGCAAAAGCAAAATGATTATTGCAATTTAGTTTTCCGTTATTTTATTTATATATTTATTCATAGAGATGACAATGACATTATTAACACAATAACATTATTAATAATGATAATTGACTATTATTATAACAGGATGATGATGATAGATTTTGTTATCCTCAACTTTGACCTTCATCCTTGCCTTCACCCTCGGCCTCACCCTTATCCTCACCCTCACCTTCTCCTTCGTCGAGGATTTTTTCGATATTTTCGAGTTTATAGGCTATTTATCGTAGTGTTTTCATTATTTAAGAAAAAAGGCTATTTTAGTTTTTATTCGATTGACTGATCAAGAAAATAATATTAAATAATGTACCGGTTTCCTTTAGTTATGCATAAATAAAAAATGAGAAATTGAATAAATATTTTCTAACACGTAGTAAAATGAATAAAGAATAGAGATTCAAATGCCTTATGAGTATGCAAGTTTTCGATCAAGATTCGAGGATTTTCAGGGGTCGCCTTGACAGTCTTGTGGGTTTCACCTGCAATCTTTTAAATTTACAAAAGCGCAACATGTCATGCATAAATATGATTTATTTCTTTTACAAAAGACAGCAGGAACAAAAAATTTACCTCAGGTTCAGTAATAATTTCTTTGATGATACCGTCCGTAGTTTGCATCGCTAATCCGACCGGATGATAACGAACGCGTTGACCAACTTTGAGGTCTTCTTTCTTTACTTTAATTTCACCTTTGGGGCTAGTCATTTTTTTTTTGTTAAGTGATTGTAGTAGACGAAAGGTTAAAAATTTTTTCAGGTATCGAATATTGCCTTATTATATAGATATAACGTGAGGCTTTGCAAAAATCATCGTGATGTCATTTGCGCGATTAGGCGTATGATTTTTTTTCACTAACAACGATGACCAACAATAAAAGCATAATATATCATTATTACACGGCGTTTGGAACATAATCGTGATTGATTGCCTCTATATCATAGCTGAATAGTATATGTAGTTAAATAACTTTATTGCTACATCATATAAACATATGATTTAGTGTGGGATCAATTTTTTATTGATAAATGTTCCCACGAATGTTTCTAAATTTTTATA